TTTTCACACTTATAAACAAGTCTTTCTTTCTATTTCTATCTTATGTGGAACAAACAACATCCAAAAAACTCATATTTCTATACAAACTCTCCAACAACCTATTGATTGACTTTTCATATTTAAAAGCACGTTTAGCGATTATTAGTAATAGATAAGATTCCATGTACACCTGAGCATTACAATCCAATGCTTTACAGAGGGTTCGTAGAGCTCTCAAATGAGACTTTTGGAGCTCTTATAGTAAATTTTATCCTAATGTAGAGCTCTCAATTGAGACTTGTAGAGCTCTGAATATCAGTCTTTTTTGACCTATGGGGTACGTAGAGCTCTCAGTTAGGACTCTTACAGGTCTCAGTTAGAACTCGTCGAGCTCTCCCTTAAGGTCTTATTCAACCTTACCCAGCAACCCACATCTGGCCTGTAAAATTAGAGCAAAATACCTTACTTATTGCAAAAAGAGAAGTGAGAATTTATTTCAGCATTCATGGTCATCCAAAACCTTCATGTGTAATCAAGAACATTTTATCAGATTCTCTCAGAACATGACTTTGGGAGGGTATTTGATCGCATTTTTAGCGATCTTTTTTTGCAGCAGCCTCACCAAGATCAATGCCACATATATCAGCCAACCTGATGAGATACAGAAGAACATCAGATAATTCTTCACCAAGATGCTCTTTATCTGATTCCTCCCAATTTGGCAACCCTTTGTCCACCTCTCCCCTCCATTGAAATATCTCCGATAGCTCTCCTACTTCACCAACCAGTACTTGTATGTATGCCAAAAGACGACCTGATTAGGAAAACTTGTCCCAATTGTGGAGCACCTTGCAGGAATTTCATTGTACAAATAATTTATTTATTTATTTATTTTATACACCATGTGTCTAGATGAGAGGTTTTATGGAAAAGAGGGGCATACAACCTTGCGCAGATAAACTAATAAGCACTTATGTAGGGTGTCAAATTATTTCTAAACAAAAAAAAAAAAAAAAGGAGATGTTTTATGGAAGCCTGCATGTAATATATTTACTTCCTTTGAGATAGCATGACCAAAGTAAATGTCTCCATGTATTGATGGTGCAGCCAGTGTTGTCATTTTGTAAAAACTACATTAATTTGAACTAGGTTTTCTAAGGGTAGGATGTCTTAGTAGTAGTTGATATTATCTCACAAAGCAATGTGGGTTAATATTAGTCATTAAAATCTACCATTTCTTTCAGAACTGGCTTTTATATCGACTCATATTCTCTGCCACGTTCTGGGCCAACCCATCTTCAACTATCTCATAAGGATGTCATCGCTAATACCAATTATTACAACTAAACGCATTTGGTAACTCGTCTTTAAAACTAGCTTTGTAAGCAGCCAGTGCCTACATAGTTTACAAACCTTCCAATTAGACCTTCACAAAGCGACACAAGATAACAATTAGAGTCGTTTTCTTGCAAATTTAGCATAAAAAAGCACTACGAAATGGAACAATGAAATCATTACCATAGCAAGGAGTAAATGTCTTGGGCTGTGGTACTTTTCCCAGTCTCTAGCCTTTGCAAATTCTTCTAGTTTCTTTGACAGATCTTTCAAGCTGATGTCCACTGCTTTTCCTTGCAAGAATTCTTCTTCCATGGCTTGCTATGCCACTTCTTTTCACAGCCTTTACGCCGATGCTAAATGGACTTTAAAAGGCCAAGAAAGTTAAAGAAATTCTTGAGGAATATTGCTATTAAAATTG